AATATTGGGGCCTTGCTGTCTGTTCTTTACGACTTTCAGGTACCCTTTTCTTGTTGCATCCCTGCTGTACTTCATGCGTGGGTAGTATTTACTTCCATCAGGTCTTTCTTCAGCTGTTTGAGTCTAAGATATTGAGGGTGTTTTTGTTTTTATTTTTAATCTCAATTTTGACTGTAGTTTCATTGCTGGGATGCTTATTTCATTCCATCATATCCATCTGTTATTTCACTTATGCTCATCTTTGTTTTGTTTCATAATTCCATGTTCTTATTTATATATGTGAGTCTTGCATTTTAAGCATGTGTTTGTGTATGCGTGTATGTTGTATGTGTGTTTGCACATGGATGTGCATGGAGATCAGGACAACTTTTGGGATTCAGTTTCTTCCTTTCCCTTGTTTGAGGCAGGGTCTCTCTTGTTTGAGTCACTCTGCCACTCTCTGCTAGCTGGACCATGAGCTTCTGCCTGATTCTCCTGACTTGTCCTCCCATCTCACTGTAGAAGTGCTGGGATCAGAGATGGGAGCCACCATATTTCACTTTTTCTGTGGGTGCCAGGGATCAAACTCAGGGGTCAGGCTTGCGCAGGAGACACTTTTATCTTCTGAACCACCTCCCTTGCCCTCCGTTAATGTCCCAATGGTTTATTTTAATGTCCCAATGGTTTATTTTAAAAGCATTTAAAGAAAAAATTAAAATTCTATAGAATATTGACTCTGTAGAAGATTCTATAGACACGTTTCATCTGGGGAGGAATTAGACTTATTGACCATCTGATGTGGTTAGAGTAATGGCTTTAGGCTCATCGGGAAGGAGGTTCTTCCCACACAGCTCCGTGTGCTCACTTTGCCGCCACGGTAGCTGCTCTGTTTCAGCTACCCTGTCCCCTCCTGGCCTCTAGTACGGGACTTACCGAACTGAGCCTTGTGGTAGAAGTAGGGTGCTGCAGACCCAGGCTTGGGTAACAGGTAACTTACCTTGTGTCTGTGTCTTAAGGCTGTGTTGTGCCCCTTCTTCTAGGTCCATATAAATATCTGTAAATGGATCTACCCCTGAGAAGAGTGAGTGCCGTCCCCATCTCACCTTCCTTTCGTAAACACAGACCCCTCCCATCAAAGGGAGATGAGGGCTAGATCTCTGTCTGACACCTAAGTTGCTCAAGTCCTAGCCGCCAGATCAAGGGCCCAGCAGCCCTGTGGCTCTAGCCACACATATGGCTTTCTCATTTGTCTCTGTGGAGTTTTTTTTTTTTTTTTTTAATCTTGTTTTTGAGACTGGCAGTGTCTGTTTCTGCTGGGTGGTTGGAGCAGAGCAGTACTTTGAAGCATGACCTTTCTGTGCCCTGTGCCAATGCGATGAATGGGCTTTTGTCTTGTCTGTTTGTTTTTACAGTGCTGTGGATGGAAGTCAGGACCTTGAGGATGCTAGGCAGGTGCTCCACTTGAGATCCCCTCCCAGCCCCTGACTGAAATAACCCGGTCAGGTACTCTATGGCTCAGTGGTGCTCTAACTGTGGGTCAGGACCCCTTGGGGGGGGTTACATATCAGATATATCCTGTATATCAGATATTCATATTATATTTCATAACAGTAGCAAATTTAGAGTTATGAAGTAGAAACAAAATAATTCTATGGTTGGGAGTCACCACAACATGAGGAACTGTACAGAAGGGCTGCAAGAGTTAGGAAGGTGGAGATCTGCTGCTGTAGATGCGTCTCACTTTCTTCTGGGCCCTGCCCCTCTGAGGCTTCTTAGAAGTTAGATTGGAAGGAAGGCAAATAGGTAAATAACTTAAGCTGTCATAGGCAGCAAATGATCTAAGCTAAGGAGATGGAGAGGGAGGTTCGGCTCCTGGGTTTGGCTGGTAGACCTGGTATCTGAAGGGGGCCGGTGTTACACATTTATATTTCCCACTTAGAATAGAAGGAAAACTCACTACAAAAGGAGGACAGGAAGAAGAGTGGGTTTGGGTAGGAGACAAGGGTGTTAACATATTTTCGAGTGTTGTTGAAGGCGGACATGCCTTTCTGCAGCTCTCCTTTGAGTCTCTCCTTCCCCAGCATTGGAGAAGCGTTTCCTTGCCAGTGCTCAACTATGCCACACACTTCCTTAATGTCCTGCGGACAAACAAGTATAGTTTTGGCCTTTGTGGGTGCTGGAGGAAAGGACATCTATCAAACGGGCAGCTCCAAACTGTGGCAGAACTCTAAAGGACTCGAGTTAGGTGTTCTTTGAGTGGCTAGGAGGAGGGCCTGGCCAAGTCTGAGGCGCAGGTCTGTGTAACCACCTCACTAAGACCTCTGTGACTGCACCCCACATCATCTCTAGCATGACACCCTTCCATCCTTTCTTTAGAAACTGCTCTTTGGCCTGGAAGTGGTTCACCCCGCCGAGCCTGAGTGTGCAGGTGTGTGCACTTGTCTCACGTTCTTGCCGTGTCCTCAGTGCTTAGAACACTTCCTGCACTGTTTGAGAGATGATTAAACGACCGCAGAAGCACATGTGTTTGGGCACTGGTCTGCAGAGCTGCTGTAGTGATTCTTGTCTCCTAGTCTCAAACTCTCTTGTGTTTGAGAGGGTGCACCAAGTTGACCTTCTGCCAGATCTTCCTTCTGCCATATTGATCTTGGCTCAGTCTAGGTCTTTAATATTCTTATCTGTAAAAATAATGTTTATCAATATTTTGTCACATTTTTGTGCTCTTATTTTTAAAATATTTGTCATTTTTACTTTATGAGTATTTTGCCTGCATGTATGTATGTGTGCTGTGTGCATGCCTGCTGCTCACCGAGGCCATAAGAGAGTGCTGAATCCCCTGGAACTACAGCTCACCATGGTTTGAGCCACCATGTGGGTGCTGGGAACTGCACCTGGGTCCTCTGAAGAGCAGCCAGTGCTCTTCCCCACTGAGCTGTCTTGCAGCCCTGTGCTGTGCTTTTCCAATGGGGGTTGTGTATTGTAGCCCCCCTCCCCCAGCCATAACAACACATGGGACTACTTCAAATCGTGTCAGTCAGTCCTTCGCATGGATCCCTTCAGTTCACGGTAAGAAGAGGGAGTCCTTGGATTGCAGAGCATGGAGTGAATCTTAGCTCCGAAAATTTGTGGTTCTGAACCCTGTCCTATTCCTTTCTTCTTTCAGACATGAAGCTGTTGTCCTTCCTGTACTGTTACAGTTTTATTCTGTGTCCTCCTTCATGTCTTTTCAGAATCATATTGCTTAGAAGTGAATGGATGCATTGCTGTTGTTTGTTTATGTCCTCCTTGAAACAGACTTAGGGGCTCTTCTTGGCTTTTCTTACTTCTCACTCTGGTGCTTTAGAGAGGCCTGGCTCGTACAGAGGGCAGCAGAATGGTAGCTGGGAGGTTAGGCAGAGTTAGATGAGATGCCTACTTGCAGGTGATTTCTTTCTTATTTTGGGCAAAATGCAGTGTCCTGGCCTTCCTGAAGCTGCTTCTGCTCCCTTGGGGGAGGGAGTCTGATGCTCCAAGTTGCACCAGTGCAACTGTCTTTCTGCTTGCTGTGCCTGCTTGCCGCTTAGAGCCAGTGAGCTGCTCTCACATTCCACCGATCCCCACAGACTCTAAGTAGAATGTTCCAATTCTAGCCCATAATTTCCAGTTTCTAATTGGGGGTATTGCAGGAGGCTATTTTAAGCCAAGCAGCTTTCTCAGGCAGCTAAGTTGTAAATTGGCTACCAGCATCTCTCTGCAATCTGCTTCATTTACACCATAGCAAGGAGAACATTTGAAACTTTTTGATAATGTTTCTTTCTTGATTCATTCACTCAGTAAATATTTATTGAATATATGTTATGTGCCATCAGTGTCTGCAATTGGACTTCTCTTGCGGGGTTTATATTCTTCTAAGTGAGGAAAGCAAACAAGGAGCGAACACACAGGTGATAGGTGGTGGCAGGTACCACAGGAAGAAGCAAATCAGGACAGGGAGTAGACTGATGAGGCGGGGCTTCTTCTGAGGGTGGCAGGAGGAAGGCTCTTCTGAGGAGAGACCAGATGAGTCAGGCACCCAGCCATGCAAAGTTCCTGGAGGACACAATAGCTGCCCAAGGTTCTGTGGTGTTGGCAAGAGGCTCAGAGCTGCAGGATGAGGTGCCGGTGAAGGAGGAAGGAGAGGAGACGAGCTCCTGAAGCGGAGAGTGGGAAAACACAATTTCTTTATCTCAAAACTGTACTGTGCCCAGGGAAAGACCATGCCTGACATCCTCCCCAAAGGCTAAAGTTCCAATTTCTGGCTCACTTGACACCGAGTGGGCCCAGTACACAGTGGGCCTTTTCAGTTAGGGACTGTGAGGTGTCCACCAGAAACTAAGGGTATTTAGAACAGGGCTAGAGATCGTTACTAAAGGATATGTGGAAGGAGGAGATGGCTGAGATGAGGTTGGAGAAGGTAACCTTTGTGCGCATCCTTGCCAGTCTGTGCAGGTGCACGTGGATGCAGAGGCTGATGTCAGGCGCCTTCCTCAGTTCCTCTGGGTCTTGCTGGATCCAGAGCTTGCCGGTTTGTTTAGACTGGCTGGCCCATGACTCTCTGGGCCCTCCTGTGCCCCCGCACTGAGGTTACAGGCATACTGCCACTCCTAGATTTTGTGTGGGTACTGGGGATCTGAACTCAGGTTTTCCTGCTAGCACAGCAAGCATTTTACCCACTGAGCCTTCTCTCTGACCTCATGCTCAAACCTTTTTTGTGTGCCTATGTTAGTGGATTTATTGCAGCGTACGGATGGCTTTCCAAAGAAAAATCCAATAATGCATTTAAAATGAAAAGTGTAAAGCCAGATAAGATGGAGTTTCATCATGTGTTGGTGATCTGCTCTCCTATCTCCTAGTGGGCACAGAGAGGGATGTGTTCAGCAGTCTTCTACTTGTCTTTCCACTTTGCTGCATTTTCACTTTTCCTTAATTTTCTTTAGAATAAAATTAATTATAGCTTTAATCATTTTTTTCCACTTTTAAACAAATTCTTGGGTGTTTTTCAGGTCGCTATATCCGGGAGAAGTCTAAGCAAGTCATAACTCTGCTGATGGATGAGCAGCTGCTTTATAAAGAGAGGGAAGTGGCAACTTGGACGAGGCAGCGGACCTCCTACTCCATGACGTTTCCCAGAAGATTAGCTGTCGCAGGGAACTCCCCGCCAGTGTGCTCGACTGTCCTCATCTCTGAAAGCCTCACCACTGAGAAGAAGCACTCGCTCCTGACAATTCCAAGTCTACGCAGTAAAAGTGCGTACTGTAAGCAGCGGCCTAAAACGTGATGGGTGCCCATTGAGCATAGTCAGAAACAGAGAACACCAGCTTCAAGTTGCCAAGTGTATCAGCAGGTCTTTCCCTCTACTAGACTTCATTCTGCAGGGAATGAGGATGAAGGAGGATAGTCAATAGACAGTGTAGGGAAGTTTCCAATGTCTTGCTTCTGAATTCACAAAAAAATAGTTTCCAGCTAAAACTGGTAGCCTCATGGCTACCCTATTGGCCACTTTACTCAGTTTAATATTTTCTCTAACTATAATATGAAGGAGGTTTGCTTTCTGAGAGTGGGGGCCTGGGTACATGGGCATGTTTTGTTAAAAGTGTTTGACGATTCTAACATAATTTAAATGAGTTTTCTAGCATGATTCTTTGTAAGGCATTACCTTTGCCTAAAACTTTAACTCCTGGATTACTGAACTTTAAAAATAAGGGTGAGGGGAGATACAACATTATCAGGGAATAAAATGACCTTTCCTATTACTGTTGCTGAAACATCAAAGAATGCCACTGTGCTGTAGCTTCTCCAGCACCGACTGATGAGTTTTGCATGAAGACGGGCAGTCAGGAGAAGAAAGCAGGAAAGAAATCTGATGTAGTCTTAGCTACTCCTGAACTAAACTCAGTGCTGAAAGTGTCCAAGAAGATTGCCTCCTGGGCATGGCAGCTATGTCTATGGCGATGGACTGAAGGTTTGTCCCTAAAGCCATGCTGAAATGGAATCTGCAGTGGGCCAAGGTGGGGCCCCTGAGAGATAATCAGGCCCCAGGGGTAGAGCCCTCAACAGGATGTGAGCCCTGAGACCCTGGAGAGCTCTCTCTTAGCCCCTCTCCTCCCGCTGCTGTGGAAAGAGGTAGCTTCTTAGGGCCTGACCTTGCAGACAGCCTGTGTGCAGACATTCCATCTTCTGGAGCTGTTTGAAAATGATTTTGTTACTTCATTCTGTGTTGCTGTTAGCAGCCCGAGGCTACTAACAGATATCTTTTAAGCAAGACCCTGAAAGAGCTGCGGGGATTCAACATGAGCAGTGAATTCCAATTGTCAGTGAAGCACAGAAATTAAAAAATATATATATCAGCAGTAACATTAACAACAATAACACAAGCCAGTCCTAAAATCACCCTTCCCTGATTTCGTCAAGTGTTCTTAAATGTTCACTCAGTTGGTACCTGAGGGTCACTGACAAAGAAAGGCATTAAAAGGGGTTCTTTGTAATTATAACAGTAAATATCACCAAATGCTTTAAGAAATAGTGCACCATTTTTCCATTTTATTTGGAATATGTCCCTACAGCTGATACTGAGAACTGGGGTACCAGCTGTGAGGCTTCAGAGCTTCTTCACCTCTTTTACTGTTTCTGTTTTACTGTTTCCTTGCTCTTGTGTGTGTGTGTGTGTGTGTGTGTGTGGTGTATTATGGTATATGTACATTTTCATGGAGGTGTGTGCATGTTGGGGGTACATGTGAATGTGGAGGCCAGTGTCTTCCTCAACCAAGCTCCACCTTGTCTTTTTGAGTCCAGAGCTTGTCAATTCAAGGTAGGGTGGCTGGCCAGAAGCCCCGAGATATGCTTATCTCTGCCCACAGTGGGATCACAGGTTGTGCTCAGTGCCTAGCTTTTTACGTGGCTTTTGGGGCTCCTCATGCACAGTAGCCAGGTACTGATGTGAGCTTCAGGGCTGTTGGCTTGTGGCTCTGTCTAGTTGTGGAGCAGAGGTGGTCACTTGCAAGTCACTTGCAGTCTGTAGGTCCTCATGCTTGCGTGGCAGGCCCTTTGCCAGTGGGACCATCTCCTGGCCCCTTTCTGCCACTTCTTGATGCACTTTCTTCTTGAGCATCATTGCTGGAAATCTGAATGTCCAGTAGAAATGGAAGCGACAGCAGTGAGGGAGTGAAATTCCCTTCTCCGTGGAGCGTGTGTGACAGAGGCCAGCCTAGGAGCCCACATGCACAGAAGAACATAAGACATGTCCTTTGTCAAAAGGGAAGGCAGTCAGGGACAGAGTGACAGGGATGGCTTCATTTGGGGACAGATGTGGGATGGGGTAGCACTTTGGGGAGGGGAATTTAAACAGAGACCTGGCTACAGTGCTGAAGTAGCAGCCACAGCTTGGGTGACAGAAGGCTGACAAGGTGAGTCCCTAAGTCACTGCAGATGTAACTCATCTCTGAGCCATTTTTATGAGGCACACAAATTCCAGTTTGTTACTTTATATTTAAATCCATGTGTCCCCAGTGTTGTGACACACCTCACTCACCAGGAAGAGCTCTGAATGCTTTAAAGAAAACATCAATGAACTCAAGACATGGTGGCACACAACTGAGACCCCGGTAGTCAGGAGAACTGAGTTTGAGGCTTGCCTGTGCCACATAGCTGGACCTTGCCTCAAAGGAAAACAAAACAAACCAAAACCAAAAACTGAAACAAAGAAACCTTCTAGAGCTTTGTTACAATGCATTTAGCAGCACAGAGATACAGAGAATGGCCTGCCCTCTGCCAGGTGCTACACTAGGCACGGTAAGCAAATCCAGTGTTTCTGCTGTCCTGGGAGTGACTTGGGGGAGACATTCTCTCCAGTCAGCCTCACAACAGTGGGCTCCAGGAGCGAGGCCGTGGGAAGTGCTGCTTGACATGCATGTTTAGATGCAGAAGCTGCTGGAGCCCTGCTAGTAGAAACTCGGTCAGATTATTTTTGCTTCCTTTGCCCGCTGTCTGTACTAGATACATAGAGGTACGCGTTTATGTTTAGAAGGGAGCAACTGGGTTAAGTAAGTTTAGCTGTAGTACCATTTAAATAGTCACCATTTTCATGAAGATGTTGGGTCTCAAGCTGTACTGTAAAGGAAGAAATAAAGCAGCCATTTTGGGATAAGAGTAAGAAAAAGAGACCAGGCATGGTGATGCACTCCTTTAATCCCAGCGCTTGGGAGGCAGAGGCAGGTGAATCTGTGATTTCGAGGCCAGCCTGGTCTACAAAGGGAGTCCAGGATAGCCAGGGCTGTTACACAGAGAAAACTTGTCTCACAACAAAACAAAACATAATTGGGCAGAGGCCTCCTTAGAAGGACAAGAGAAGTAGCAAATGGAGAGGTTTGTCCCAAGTGGGTAGTCATGAGTCACAAGCAATAGAGGGAGCCATGGAAGTCCTAGTGGCTTAAACTTAGTGGGGGCTTCTTTCTCTCTGTAGTCATGCAGAATAGGTGTTTGAGGACTGATACGGCTTCCTGTGGTGTCAGCAGCTTTGGGCAATTTCTGTCTCATTCTCTACCAAACTCATGACACATGGCGACCTGGGCGCCAGCCTCACATGTGCAGGAAGAAAGGTCTGTTGAAGACACGGATGCTCATCCTGTTAGCTTGCATCTAACATTTTGGCTTACATGTTGCTTATCACTCAGCCACCGGACACTCCTAGTCACAAGGGAGACTGGGTGGCTGTGTGTCAACTGTACTTACTCAGAGAGAAGTCAGAAGAGAAACAAGAGGAGAGTAAGTAGAGGAGACATTAACATAATCTCTACCTCAGGGGGGAAGCGTGCAAGCAGAAGGAGGATTAGGCGTGTAAGAACTGCTTGTATACTAACTGGAATAAAAACTAAATTTGAATATGCAGAAAAGCGTGGGCAGATACTTGAAAGTTTTCTGAGCAATTAACAAAAGGCATAATACATCGTATTTGGAAATTTCAATTTGCTAGAACTTGTGCCTAGGAAGTGGTTTAAGCCTTGAACAGGAGGGATGTATAGTTTAGTCACAGAACTTCGCTTTCTCATTACAGAAAACAGCTGTTTTGGGGAGATAATTCTGACTGCTTTGTGTGGAAATGAAGGAGATGTGAATTGTAGGGAGACTTCAAGAAACAGTTGCTTCAGTTTGGGCACAGGACCTGCTCTGGGTGGGAGAAATGAGGGGCCAGTCGCGTTTGAAGACAACGGCATGTTCAGAGAGGCAGTAGGCTGAGTGGAAAAGAAAAGGAGAAACTGAAATGACTTCCGCGTCTGAGTTAGAGGAGGGAGGTACCCACGGCACCACACAGGTAAATCTCCGTCCCCGGGAGTCTGAGGACTAGGCTGTCTTATTTAGTTACAGCGAGATGTGAAATTGAGAGCATCACTAGAAAGCTAGGCTGAAACAGCTGCGCTGACTGCTTCGAGGTAAATTAGCAAGGGAAAAGAGCGCTCTGAAGCAGCCTTCACACATCGCCACTTCTTGTGCTTTATTTCTGCTCTTGGAGGTTTCCCCTAAGTTTTAATTCATCGATTGCTTCAGTGGTTTTTGTTTGGAAGATTTTGATTTTGACGGAAGAGCTGCACTGAAGGCCAGTGGCTGCTTGCTGGCAGCAGGCGTCTGTAGGTCACACAGCCCTTCCTAGAGGGGCACCAGAGTGCCTCTGTCCAGAAGCATTGCTTACTCACCCCAGCACCTAGGAGTTCTCTGGGAGGTGTTGTCTTTGTAGCACAGTTTTGTCTGTATTTAGTGAGGATTCCTCTGGGCAGTCTTGGAAGCATTCCTGTGCAAATGACTTGCATGGCGGCTACGGGATCAGTTACTGTAGACATCATCCTGCCCGTAGTCGCAGCCAGGACCATGGCTGCACTCACTGTCTGTACTGACAGCCTTGCGCAGAGTCAGGCTTGGTCACCTCTGCTCACACACGGCAGAGGAGGGCTCATGGCATACACTGGTTGCCGTTGAAACACTTAAGCTGGTAAGGCCTGTGGTTGATTTTTACATTTTAAAAGTAAACATGAAAACCCTATAATTCATATCACCTGCCTTCCCAAACCAACAGTTTTTACAGAAATATTGAGTTCCAGTCTGCCTTTCTTTTTTTGTTTTTGTTTGTTTGTTTTGGAAAAGTAACTTTGTTCCTTTAAAGTGATGCAGGCTCATTGTCCACATCTGGTCACTTCAAATCACAGTCCTAAGTAGTCAGTACTCGGTGAGCATAATCCTAGGCACACATACACACAGAGCGGTGACCAACAAGGGCTGTGGGCAGCTTGAGAGGAGTGGCTTTTTTTTTTCCCTTTGTGGAGGAGAGGAGTAGGGTCTTACTGTGTAGCCCAGGCTAGCCTTGAACTCAATCCTCCTGTATCAGCTTCCCAAGTTCTGAAATCACAGGTGTACCAGCTCAATATATTATATGCTAATTTATGGTAAAAATTTCAAACGTCTGATTCTGGCAGTAACTGTAGGGGCCCTTTCTGCTGCATGATCGCCAGTGGTTGTAAAGGATGTGCTGAGAATTCACTGTTCCCATGGAACTATGAGATCCCTAAGGTACTTTTCTTCCAAATGTTAATAATAAGGTAAGAACAGAATGTGTGAGCCCAAGTCAGCGGGACTGGAAGTTGGTACCAGTGGTGCATTAGAAACTGACTCACTTATGGGTATCATTGGTTAAATGACTTCTCTGCATGGAGAAGAAGAGTCTTGGACACCCTCTCAGGAAGGTGAGACGTGCTGAACGCAGTCCCTGAACAAGGGCTGACGCGAGCCCTGCAGTTCTCTGTAGAGGGAACCCACCTGGGTTCACCAGTGAGTCCCTGGAGTTTTCACCAGGTGAAGCCAGGCCTTGAGCTCACAGGCCGGCATCTCCACCACCACGCAGAAGAAGGTAAGTGAGGGGCATGACAGTCCCTAAGGACTGCCACACAGATATGAATTTAAACATTTATTCATGCAAGTACAGGCCAGAACCACACAACATCAGCTTTAAAGAACTCACAAGGACTGGGTAGATGAACTTTAAAAAGAGCTTAGAAAAATTAAACAACAACAACAACCTACTTTAGAAAATTAGAATAGATGTTCAAAAAAATCCCAATCATTTCAGAAGCAAGGTTGAAAAAAGAAAATGATGAATAAATGATAAACATGTATGCAGAATGAAATGATTTCAGTTAAACACCACATAACTATTTAGTTAAAAATGGCAGCTGCGTCCCGGCTCTTGGGGCACTGAGGCAGGGAGATTGCCAAAAGTTTGACGTCTATAGGTGATCCCATACACAGACTTACACATGCGTATGCCAAAAAAGCTAAATGCATGGAAGAAGCAACCATTTCCATATAGAAAACTAGAAAAGGTCTACTGAAGAAACACAAAAATAAGAGCTTTAATAAGATGGTAGTTGTAACATTAAAATATAAAATACATGAAACAAAAAATAAAAACAGAAACCACATAGTATATCCTATTAGTCATGAACAATAAACAATTTTTTTTTCATGTTTGGCTGTTTGCCCCCTGTGTCTGTGTACCACATTCGTCCAGTTCCCACAGAGGCCAGAAGAGGGCATCAGGTTCCTGGAACTGTTGTTACAGACAGCTGTGAGCCACCATGTGAGTGCTGGGACTCGAACCTGATCCTCTGGTAGAGCAGTTAGTGCTCTTGGCTGCTGAGCCATCTCTCCAGCTCCAATAAACACTTTTAACTGTTTACTTACTGTGTGTGCATATGGGCATGCAGGTGCCATGGGGCACATATCAAGGTCAGACAGAGGATAACCTTCACTGATCAGTTTTCCCCTTTTCCTGTGTAGGGTTCAGAAATTAAATTCTGGTTGTCAGTTTTGGTGGCAAATGCCCTGATCTGATGGTCCAATAATCATATTTTTTAAAATACCATTTATAATTAAAAATCAAGATTACTTAGGGCAGGGCATGGTGGTGCATGCCTTTAATCCCAGCACTTGGGGAGGCAGAGGCAGGTGGATCTCTGTGAGTTCAAGGCCAGCCTGGTTTACAAACTTGAGTCCAGGACAGCCGAGGCTACACAGAGAAACCCTGTCTCAAAAAAAAAAAAAAAAAGGATTACTTAGGAACAAATCTTAGAATGTATGATATCAGTATGCTGTGGGCTATAAGGCATAATTGAAATATATTAAGGAAGACCTGTATAAGTGGGAAAATATACCATGTTTATTGTAATGGTGCAGATATGTCAGTTTTTTCCAAGTTGAGTTGGTAGGGGTTTTTCAGTCTTGGTACCACTGCTGTTTTGATTAGGTCAGTTCTCTTGTGAAGGCTGTGCATTGTAGTTTTCTCCTTGCCCTTCACCCCTGGGTGATATTGGTACATTCTTTACTGTTGTGAGAGTCGGAAACCGTCTGCAGACATGGCCAGACGTCCCCCGTGGACCAAAATTGCCTCCCAGTTGAGAACTACCGATTCAGTGCAATTACAATCAAAATTTCTAGAAGGATTTTTAAAGCTGAACTTGATGGGCTGATAATAAAATGTACTTTGAAAAGTCAAAAAGTCAAGAATAATACATGAGTGCGCGCACACACACACACACACACACACACACACACACACACCAAGAGTAGTCCAAACAAGCTGTGGTACATGGTAGTTTGCATCACATCTGTAATTTCAGTACTTGGGAGATGGAGGAATGATAAGCTTGAGTCCCATGGTGAGACTGAACATTCCCCAAGAGGAGTGAGGTGAAGGGCTTCCTTCCTAAGTAAGACTAGAAACATGGTAAGGCAGGTGGGCGCGTGTACAAATGGGGCAAAGCACTGTGCTGAGAAAACAGCTTCACAGCTGTGCAGTCCTAGTAAAGGACATTTCAGGTATACGGGGGACGAATGAGTTGCTCAATAAATAACAGTCCCACCACTTCAGAAAATGAGATTAGGTCTCTGTCCCATGCACGAATACAAAAAATCTACATAAACTAAGGACTTAAAGGTAAAAAGACAAAATTTGAAGATGTTTAGAAGATTTGGGGAAATATATATATATTTTAGACACATAACAAAGTAGTTTCTTACACTGCATGTGTCCCTGGGGTTGAACTCAGGTCTTCCTGCTTGCAGGCATGTCCCGTAACCCACTGAGCTGTCCTGATAGACCGAACCTGTTACTTTCTTTTTTTGTGGTTCCAGGGCTGAACTCTGGGCCTCATCCATGCTGTACAAGTGCTCACCTCTGAACTGTGTCCCGCAGACCCCAAATAGCGCAGACTGTAGACACAACAATAAAGCAGTTAATGAGTATGCTGTGTGGTAGCAGTGTTCTGTTGTTAGCCTAGCCTCTGCCCCACCTCCTGTCTCTACGTAATCTCTGCCCCACAGTGGGAGAACCTGCTGCTGTTTGCCGGTAACTCCCATGTCTTATGGTGAAGGATTCTTTAGGTGGACCCAATCTAATCATAGGCCTTCTCCAGCCAGTGTCCCAGGTAGGCGAAGCACATACAGTGCTGCTGACCTGAAGATGGCGGGTGAGGGATGCAACAGCTTCTAGAAGCTGCAGTTAGGTGACTTTCCAGCTTTCCAGGAAATAGGACCCTCCTCTAAGAAGATCCTAATTCCACCACAACCTGAATGACCTCGGAAGTGATTCTCAGTCTTAAGACAAGAATTCGGCCAGGCTGATTCCTGGATTTTGGCCTTATGAGACCCAGAAACAGTTCAGTGTGAAGAAGTGTCTCTCTCGGTTTCCTGCTGCTGCTTTTGTGTTTAAGTCTGATTGGTGTTGATTTTTGCCTTGGAGTAAAGTCAGGATCTGATTTAATTGTTCTGCATGTGAGTATCTGGCCTTCCCCACCCCGCTTACCCAACACCCATCTGTCCTCCCCCCACTCTACCTTCTTGGAGCTCTTGATGCCCAGCTGACCATAAGTGTGTGGGTTCATTTCTGAGCAGTCTGTCCTAATCCATGGATCTGTATGTCTGGTTTTGTGTCAGAACCATCTGCTCTGATCGGCTTTTGTGGATTTTTCTGCAGTAGATTTTGAGATCAAAACCTACCATATAGAAATTAGAAAAAAAAAAAAATCTGAAGACTATGGGGAAATTTCCTAACACATATAACTAAAAAAGGATTAGCATCTAGAGTACAGAAAGAATTCCCACTAATCAATGTAAACGGGGTAGAGACGGGCAGGAAAAAAAAAAAAGACACAGAAGACATTTTCTTGTGAAATGGAGGAAATGTGGAAGGCCAAGAAACACTGATTAAGATGACAGCCTTGCAGCATTACGATAGCAACAACAGCTCTAAAAGGAAATTTTGTGAGAGGATGTAATCTATGACAATTTCAGGACCGCTAGAGCCGTTCCACTTCACTCCCTTCAGTCGGGCTCTTCATCCACTTGTTTCTCCATCCCTCCTTCTCATTCCCTGCTTTGGAATGAGTGCATTTGTTCACTTGCCTGGTAATTTACTTACAGTCACTAAGGATGGCCAGCCATTGTCGTCTACAAATGCACCGGGTCACGTTCATAGCTCTTCTGGGATGCTCAGGGCCCATGAGCTACAGGTTGGACATGCCTGCTGAAGGCAGTGATGTTATTTAAGCCCTTTCCTCGCAAATTCGCCTTCCTGAAGTGCAGGTAATGTAGACTCATGCAGTAGGTGAGCTGACAGCTGCAGCACAGTGAACTTGGGCTGTGGTCTTTGTTGCTGTTCCCATCCCGTCTCAGACCAGCTTGTTTTCTCTACCACGTTAGAGTTTGGGGGTGTTTCTTACTTGACGGAAGGAAGGAAGGAAGGGAGAGCTGACCTTCTCTAGAGCACCTGGACTCTGCCTTGTTTTCTGCTCTCTTGGAAAGGGACGAGCCCAGCCTATGCCCACTTGGGATTTGTGTCCTGGGCTCACGGGCCAGGGAAGATAGCCTTGCACTTTAGATAATCTGCCCGACTCAGTGTGAAACTGGTCGCAAACCACCTCTGTCGCGGCAGCATTCTCACACATCTCTCTTTCCACTCTCAGGGTGGACATTGAAAAGGGCAGCGCTGGCCATTCAGTGTCTAGGTTCAGACGGGCACACGCTGATAGGATACCGGCAGCACATCTCCCCAGACAGATTTTGGGGAAGAGAAGCATTCTGGGCCTTGTTTCTTTTCTTGACCATCCGCTATTTTGCTTTCTTTCTTTTAACAGTTACGTTTAGCCATGTCTGCTTCTGTATAAGGTTTCTGTTACTTTTAAAAATTAGTTTTCTCTTTAAAGAATCTCATTTAAGTACTAGGGGTTGCGGTATGAAAACCTTTTGTATGTGTAGTATTCTGTGCATGTGCATGCCTGTGTGTCTGTGCATGTGAGTGCCTCTGTGTGTGTGTGTGTGTGTGTGTGTGTGTGTGTATACCCACATGCCTTAGTGAGGATTGAGCTTCTCACATGTCTGGCAAGTGTCCAGTGTCTCAGCTACTCCCCTAGCTTGGGTGCTGGGAATCCCCCATTGAAGTTTCACTCAGCTGTCTTGACTGAGGAGTCAACCACTCAACACTGAACCCTCCTTTTGTGTGCTGATTATTTCCCTTTGTCCCTAGAGCAGAGGGTTTAACAGTCTGTGAATTCTCCCCTTGTTTTTGAGACCTCTTGGTAGCTGTGACTCAGATAACATGTGTTTATGGACAAAAGGCCAAAATAAAATTGTCTTAACCCCCTCGCTAAAGATCTGCCAGGATAACAGGGGCCCCTCCTTCCTTTCACCCATCCACTTCATATAGTTAAAAAAAAAATCTCCCTAAATGTTTGTGTTTCTTCTTTATTCTTCTCATCCTTAAAAATTGTCTTTCCCCAGCAAACCCCAAAATTCACCACTAAAGGAAAATATATAATATTTGTATACCCCGTCTCTGATGAGAAAAAGTAGCCAAAAGCAGAAAACAGAGCAAATGAGATGTGTGTGGAGTGAGGCCTCCAGAACTTTTCCTCCAAGGTCACGGTGCTCCACTCCCTTAGCTGCTGGAAAGTTGGTGACTGAGGTGTTGTCCCTTCCCCATCCTTTTCTGAGAACCTCTTTGCCTAGGATCATGTCTGAGGGTGCGTGCAGGGCTAGAGAGATGGTTCAGAGGTTAAGAGCACTGGTTATTTTTCCAAAGGTCCTGAGTTCAATTCCCAGCAACCACATGGTGGCTCCCAACCCTCTATAATGAGATCTGGTGCCCTCTTCTGGCATACACGCAGGCAGAATACTGTATAAATAAATCTTAAAAAAAAAAAAAAAAGAGCAGCAAGTGCTGAGGGTGTGAGCACCCACTGGTTGGCTGGGTCTAGCCCTCTTGCCTCATGGCAAGTAACTGTGAGTTCAGTCCTGCCTCCCCGCTCCTCACAGATCTTGTTCCTAAGAGCTCCTCCTGCCGAACCCCCACATAGACAGGTGTTTTCTGGGGAGTTCAACAGTAGCTTTCCTTCTAGATTAAAAATAAAAGACAGTAATGACAGGTGACTGTAAAGAGAACAGAGAGAAAACAAATGCCAAGAAGCACTGCTGGCTGCTGACTCGGGGTGAACACGAGTGCTTCATGTTGTTCCTGAGCATTTTCTGTGAATTTACAATTTTGATGAAAATGGAAGTTTTAGAAAGTAGAACAGAGATCAGCTGCTTGAAGACATTCAAGTGGGTGCTCCAACAGGATGGATTGAGCAGAGCATGGTGGCTCATCTGTAGTCCTTGCAAGAGGCCGAGGCAGAAGGTTTGCTGTGAGTTTAGAGCCGGTCCGGGCCACACAGTGAGAGAAACTGGAGTCAAGATTCCAAATGTGTGAGTCTACAAAATACAAAGAAACCCCATCACCATGAAGCTGCCTTTATATCTTTTTGAATCTTCAGTAGTCCACTGAATCAATCCCCCCCCTCCCTCTCCCCTCTCCTCCCTTCTCTCTTTCCTTCTTATGTTCCTGTGTATGCATGAAGATGTGCATGTGTAGGGACCATAGTTCAATTTTGGGCAGCTCTCTCGATTACTCTTTGCCTTACTCTTTGAGATGCAGTTTCTCACTGAGCATAGGTGGTACTGATGCAGTTAGGCTGGGTGGCCAGTGAACACCAGGGGCTCCATCTCTATCTCCCTAACTCCGGGATGTCTAAGTGCACACAGCTGCACCTGCCTTTCTGTGGGACCATGGAGATTCCAACTCAGGCCCTCATGTATACACAGCACTTTACCAACTGAGCCATCTCTCCAGCACCGGGGTGTTTCCCAAGATAGAACATGTTCTCTTTTATGAAAACTTAAAACAAAACAAAACTGGGTCTCAACTGTGCTGCCCAGGATGGTCTTCAGAGCTGCCCCTGAGCACTCCCCCTGTCCCACCCTCCTTAGACCACAGTGTATGCTGCCATCCTGGCTCTGGAGAGTAGCTCAGAGTAATTGATACACGTTTTTTTAAATGACATCTGAGAGGACCCTGTCGATCTGTGGTGACAGCGTTTGTTAATGCTAGGGGAAAAGTGGGACAGTTGGCTGTGTTAGTTTACAGAGCATCTCAACTCTAGAGTCACAGTTGCACTGAGCACATCTTGTAGTCTGTCAGCTCGGCATCTCATCTAAGAGCTGTCACGGGGCCCGCCAGTTCTGCTTTTTGTATTATCTGAGCTCTGCAGGCTCAGCGGGATCTCCAGCTCTCCAGTCAGTCTCTGCAAAGCTCTGCAGCTGGCTGCAGCGTTGAGTTACCGATCGTCCAGTGACTCCCTGGCCTCGCTTCCTGTGGTATCTTCACGCTTTCCTCGGGGGCCTCCCATATCCTCATCCTCCCCGTGATCTGACAGTCTTCATTGCTGGGTTGTGATGATAGCAGAGGGACTTCATTCCCGCCAAGGAACTGAATGTGTGTGTGCCCACATGTGTCTCCCTCTTGACTTGTGGGAATCCAGAAGCACATGTCGTCCAGTCATCTAATCTCATGAAGCACGTCACACTTCCAGTCTTGTGCCGCGTGATATCGAGAAGGAAGATCATGCATGTTCATAAGCCTTAGCAGCACATCTGCTTTTCTTCCTGCCCACAGATAGCTTCATAGTATCTCAACTATTGTGTTGCCTGGTTTTAACTGTCAACTTGACACAGCCTAGAATAGCCCAGGAAGAGAGTCTCAGTGAGGAAGCTTCTAGAGCAGGGTGGCCCTTAATTCGGGTGGTGCCCTGTCCTGGGCTGTGTTCTGACCTGTGTAAGAATGAAGGAACTCGATGTGCAACAAGCAAGCGGAAGCTTTCATATCTCTGCTCTCCTTTGGGGCTGGAATGTGACGAGCTGCTGGATTTCCTGCCTTGACTTCCCCTAGATAACTGACCATGATCTGGAATTGTAAGCAGATAACCGCCCCCCTGACCCCAGCAAGGTTATAGCAACAGAAGTGAAATGGGAAGGGTGATTCTGGGCCAGAAGTGCATCTTGTGATGTGTTTGACTTCCCTTGCAGGTTCCCCAGAAGGGGCTTTCAGAAATTCTTATTAATCTACCCCTGTGCTGTCGAAAGCCTGGGCCCATGCCATTTCAGAGATAATTTTGCTGCTGAAAACTGCAAAGGAGCAATCGTTACAGTTTCTGATTAAAGCTCAGGAAAGCAGATAGATGATGGGAGCCCCAAGTCCCCACTGTTTGCCAGGATTAATTAGAAAATCTCCAAGTCAAAACTAAGTCCATTTTAATTACTCATTTTCATGTAAGGTTACAACAAAATGAAAAGCTACAGACGTAAATGAAAAGTCCTCATTATTTCTTCAGGATCTAGCACCCACCGTCCCCGCGCCTGCTGCCAGAAAAGATTTCTGTCCTCCTGTTTACTGGGGTGTGCACCACGCCTCAAAGGTCCTTCAAATCTCACCTCTCCTTGGGACTGTTCCTGAGGTTATTGGGGAAGTTCAGCCCGATGCTGTTGTGAGTTTTTCCCCGTAAGCCGGTGTGTGTTCGGGGCTTAACTTCCTGTCAGGCCGGGCTTACTAAAGGCAGAGCCTATCTCATGCAGACCTGTTGCTTCTAAGGCATTCTCATGTTCACTCCAGACTTACATACGTCTTCACAAAGTTTTAGGTTGTAATGTGAAATTTTACAAAAATGAGTAACTGTAAACTCCAGCATGTTATAAATATAGACATACCAGAAGAAAAGAAAAAAAAACAAGCCTGTCATGGCGGCACATTACCTGTAATCCCAGCTACTTGGGAGGCTGAGGCGAGGGGATCATGAGTTCAAGGCCAGCCTGAAGTACATAGACTGTCCCGAAATAAAACACAAAGACTCTTGCCTACATGCACAATACCTGGTTCAATGTCTGGTACTGGGAAAAAAAAGAAGAAAATTCTATCCCATTTGTTGTCACAGTTTTTTATTTTTAATTGTGTGCATCTGTGTGTGTCTGTGCACATGAGTGAGTACCAGTGAAGCCCAGATCGATCCCCCTGGAGCTGAGTTTCAGGCTGATGTGTGCCACCTGATGAGGGTGCTGGCAACCAAATTCAGGCCTTTGGCAACAGCAGTGTAAGCCCTCAACCGCTGGCCGCTCCTTACCCCCTCTCACATCTTAAGGTGTGTGTTAGGATTGAGACCTGCAGGGGTTCACTTGAAGAACACACGGGGTCCTTAACCATGGAAACTTCGTGTCCTTTCTCTCACCGAAGTCAGATTTGACTTCACACCACACACTGAGTCTTACCTTTAAATACAGTATTTTCATGCCTGAAAGTCTTTTTAAAAGTATCAAATACACGCAAAAATTGTGTTTTGGAAGAAGACTCTGACTGGAGAGCCCCCCCTGGGTACCCAGGCCATTCTTCTGCCTCTGCCCCAAGTGCTGGGCGTGCTGACATGCAGCTGAGGTGCCGGGCGAGGCTGGCTTCCAGTGCATAACCTGTCAGAGCCACTGAGCTCGCAGTGCGTTCTCAGAAGTGCTTATCACACAGAGAGTCCAGCCTCATCGGAAACACACGCTCTTATGAGCTGAGCAGGACCACTCACCCACACACGAGGACCGCTCACTGCTCACTGCAAGCACCGTGCAATGAACATCTGCTTCATTTCATGTTTTCTATAGATATAAATGCTTTAAAAACCTGTTCACGTAAATCATAGCCAGGCTAGAAGGTACTTCATTGTAGCACTGTCAATCAGTCCTGTGAATTCCTTCCAAGTAATGTGCCCACAATTATCCATTGACTTATTATAGAAATATTTCCTCTCTCCTGTCAGCTGTAACTTGATAAAGGCTTTCTTCTGTGTTTTTCAAATCAAAGAGCTGGGAACGCATTGTTTGGGGAAAGATTTTTTTTTTAAAAAAAACAGTCATTAGGAGTAATTTACTTTTTCAACTTCTGGGAATAATACAAAATACCCTTTATTAAAAATTATCAACCATTAATTAAACTTGTACTCTAACCTAACATAATCAGAAATTACAGGGAAAATGGAAATACCAACTGCTTTATGACTGTCAGTGTAATGTATTTTTCAGAAACTGGTTTTATACTGTGTGCTTTAAATGTTTTCAGTTCTTCATAACTGCAGATTTGGTTTATGCAATTTTTGGGAAAATATCTACCATATTAATCTACTTGGCAAATGCAACCCTCATTGTCGAAACAATAAATTGAATTGTATGGCTTTTTCTCCATAAAATGCCTTACGTATTTACTCTAATAAGTATAAATACTTCTCCTATTGCCTTTGCATCTCTGCATCCTTTACAGTTATTATATTTTTGTTTACCTATTTTGGGTGTGTGAGTGCATGTGTATGTGTGCGCAGCGTGCCTTAGCGTGTGAGTGGAAGCCAGAAAAACAACTCGTGGTTCCTTTGCTGGCTAAGCCACCTTGCCTGCCATTTTTTGAGGGATGGGCATCTCGTGGTGCCCAATCTGGCTTCAGAATCTACATGTAGAAGACACTGGCCCTGAACTCAGGATCCTCCTGCCTCTACCTCCTCAGTGTTAGGATTTTAGGCATGCACCACCATGCTTCGATAGGACTCCTAAGCCCTTTCCTAAGGTGGCTACCTCAGGCTTGGAACCCTGTGAACTGTTATGGTGATAACATAAAGATGCCCCACCACACACACCCAAGTTTTCACTACTCTGTTCTCAGGAGACTTTTCCTGAGGAGTGATGTATTCTTTGCCCATAGTTGGGGATGAGAAGCGCACGGAGGCTAAATGAAATCGGCCACCTGTTCTGCTGCTCTGTGCTGTGACACAGTACAGCTGGGTATCAGGTGCCTGGTATGGACCAGTGTGAGTTTCCCTTATTGCCACTGCTTTCCCTTCAAAAAACTATGTATGGGACAAAACCCTGGGTCTTCCCCTGTCTGGACTAACGGAGTCTCCTAGAGGTGGCTTACTCGGCTGCTGCTTCTACTGTGGGTGACTCCTCGTTGGGGAAGAAGACCCTTCACAAAGTGCATGGGTGATATGTCTTTGTTTTATAAAGTGGGGGAAATTAGGACTGGCCGAGGGAAAGAGCTGGCCGAGCCCTCTCAGGTAGCTGAGCTTTCGGAAGAAGATCTGTAGATGTCGCAGAGCTGGAAACCGATTCCTTTTAAAGGGCCAATCTAATCTTAGCCCTTGGGGGGTACTTATGCTCCCCTACAAGAGTGCAGACACCGATATGAAGATAGTCACCTTCTACCTCTTATTGTCCATACTAGCATGGCACGATAGAGGCAGCACTAATACTTTTAGGCGTTTGTGTTTTCACTGCTCATTTATGCTGGATAAATGCTAAATGACTGAGCTGCACCCTGGCCCCGAGGTTCACCTTTACAGCTGGCACTAATACACAGTAACCAGTCCAGGAAGGCAAAGGGTATTAACACTGAAAAAAATGCCAAACAGAGTAAACATAATCAGACATACCAGTTTATTTTCATTGATGTATTTTTCTCTTTTATGCTTAGTTTTTGTTTTACATTAAAGGTTTATTTGCCGCATAAACAATCTATACATTTCTGATCTGTTCCTCCCACACAGGACACACGAAATTCACTTTGCAGTACTAAGACTCCTTAAATATTCTAATAATTATAGTCATCATTCTTGCAGTCCTAAAATTCCCTTTGAATAGTTTTCACCTTTTGAAGTTCTAATTTTTATACATTACTACGTGCTACACTGTAGCTACCACAACATTTTACATTTTAAAATACGTCCAGTAATAAAGCTGTAACAGAATTGCTGAGATGGGGCAGGTCCACGGACTTGAAGCTGTAGTTTTTGAACCTGTCTGGGCTTGCTAATGTCATAACGGAGTGCATCCTCAGAGGTGGCGCTTGGTGTGTAATGTGTATCTAATTGGCAGAAAGAATCTTCAGAAGTGATTAAAGTTATACGTGAATGCAAAGTACTAATATTTATTTATTTACTTACCACCAAAATAAAACCGAAGCTTCATGTTGTTGACAGAAAATGCCTCCAAGGGAAGGCTGAGGCTGGAGCAGAGCCAGGACGTCCCCCCACCTGCTGGAACCTCCCTGGCCAAGGGCTCTCCTCAGCTCAGGGTGAAGGCGTGGAAGTCAACAGAGGTGAGGTACTCTGGTTCCCTTTGCTGCTCTGTCGGGTCACCGAACACGCGTGTTAAAACCCGGGTGTGTTCCTGCAAGGCTGCCACGTTGGCCTTGGCATTTGTGTTTTATGTAATTCAGAGTTTTAAATATCAATAAGGTAAAATTGTGATGAGTTTTCCTTTATATTATAGTTTGTGCTGTGCATTTATTTTGTGGTGCTGGGCATGGGACCCAGTGCATGCTGGGTGAACACTCTACCGTGGCTCTGCATCCACAGCCTTAAAAGGCCTCCATTGCGACTTTCCAGGAAGTAGACAACAGTACAGCGTCTGAAGTGGCCTTCTCCCTGCTTGCTCCAGTGTTGACAATGCCATTCAGTTAGATGATGACATTTTACCATTTTCATCCTCACCCCTTCCTCATTCCCCTCCTGCTCTTCGGCCCTTCTTGTCAGCAAGTCCTGCACAAGGTTAGGCCTGACAATATTCCATTGCGGATGGGGGAGGAGCCCACGAGGCCTCCAGGCCTTCTGTGGTGCAGCGCCTGCGAGTAGTAACATTTACTCGCCCAGGCACAGGTAGGAGGTTATTCGGTGAAGCAAGGGCAGCTGGTCTGTGGGTTTACCACTGAAGAAAACAGCTGTCAGTACTCGCCCTGGAGAGGTGGGGCCGCATGGTTAAGTGGGGGAGTGGAAGGTGGGTTGTAGGAGGGGACACTTCTCTTGCTCCTGTATAGGAAGAGGGCCACCCCTGCAGTACTGAGGCCCCACATGGATTCTTTGTCTTTAGCACCCCAAGAAGCAGCCTTAAAGGGAGACCTGCCTATGCAGGAGTTGAAACAGGAAGAAGGAAAAACATGTTCCAAGGACTGCCTGGTCATCCCCACTGACCCCCACTGGGGCTTCTGCCAACAGATGAGGCAGCTTCCTTCTCATTTTATGCCCCCACCATGCCACTCAGCTTCTGCCCAGGATGAGGCCCACACCAACTGCCTCATCTATGCACACAGAGAGCCTTTCACAAGAGACAGTGTCTCCATTTTCTTCTCATTTTCACGTCTTCCCTCCATGGTACTCTGCTGTGCAAGGGAGCCACCGGAACCATGAGCCAGCGCCTTTCTGTGTTCTGTGTTCTCCCACCTCAGACCGGCTCCATATTCCCGTCTCCGTGTGCACATGCCTGCTCATGTTTCAGGTTCTGACACGTGGCTCTTCTCATGCTGCTGTTCTACTGCCTTGCAATTCTTTCTGCTTAGTATCTCCTAGGTGCACATTTGGGTCATTTAATCTGCCATCCCCCATGCTTTTCAAACTACTTTTTGTCTTCCATCTTCCTGCTGTGTTTCAGTCTGTCCATGTGCCCTTTCATGTGTCAGCGCCTAACATTATCTCTGTCCTGAGAGTGGTTCTCACTCCAGTGACTGTCTTCACTCCCGGGATCTCAGATCGCTTCTGTTCACCTTTACTTGGTTCTGTTCTTGTTTACTTTTTCTTTACATGATAAGGATAATACTAAAGAGTATACTGAACTTTCCAGGTTTTGTAGAATCACAGAGACAGACTTCGGGTGGAAAACACCCCTGTAGGACCCCCTGGCGTTTGCAGGGGAGGCTGGAGCAGCACTCAGCAGCAGACCTGCTTCTCCTGTTACTGGCTGTCCTCTCCATTGTCTTTTTGAGGCATCTGTATTTCATTTTTAATGCTTTTTAGATTTGTTTATGTTCATTTTGTCAAGAGTGAACTTTTTTGGTTTTAGAATATGGGATCATAAGCTCTTCTTGGATGGGTCATGTGCCTGAGAGTGTGTGTGTGTGTTACAGCCTTCTTACTCCTCCCTAACTAACAATTCCTGCTCCCGCCCTTTTCCTGTTCAAGCTGACCACACCCAGGACTTAACACTGACAGATTGAGGTTCCTCTCTTTCACTGATGTCAGAGATGTTGCAGATCTGGTCCATAGAGCGCAGGATGCAGAGATCCAGCTGTTGGGGAAGGGTGTGTCCCTTCTTGGGGGCAGCTGTCCAAGAAACATGTGTCTCCTCACCTACCTCAGAGACATGCTCCCTCAGGCTGTGACTGAGTAACAGGTTGTTCTGCTTTCTTCCTTTATGAATAGAGAGCCCAGTCTGAGTGTGACTCCAGGCCGTGTGGAAGCTTCAGTCTTCCGTGGCTGCTTTTTGCCTGACCTCCTCTCTGGAGCCAAGTGGGGATTTTCTGCTCTGGCCCCAGAGCTCCAGATGCCTGCAGCTTTAACCCAGCATGGTTCTGCTCATTCTCTCGTCTGTGAACATGTTAGCTTGGTTTTTGAGCATGGCTATGTCTTTTTAATTTTCACATGGCATTTTTTTTCCCTCCTTACTGGATATGTGGAGAAAGAATGTATCTCCAAAGCATGACCTTGCAGAACTGTCTTACGTGGAAATCTCTTCTACTCCTGACTGACAACTAGGTGAAATGCTCACTTGCCTGTGTTATTTTGTTTGTTTAACTCTGTCCTTTCCAACGGGAAGGACAGCTCCCTGTGAGACAAGACTGTGGCCTTACATATCCTATGTGGACAGTTAGCGTGCTGACTTTCTTCCTTCCTATGAATGCTGTTCTTTGACCATCTGCTGCATGTCCTAGAAAGGAGATTGGAACTCTTGGCCAAGCCCTTCCCTCAATCCTTTAAGGTGATGGATTTAAGGGCTTTCCTACTACTTGGAAAGAGATTTATATAGTTCAAATTTACTGTTCCTTAATGTACAACAGTTTACAGATTAAAAAGAAAACTAGATTATTTAAAAATATAAGACATAAGGGCAAAATGATTTTTAAACTTACTACTAATTTCTTTGATGCTGATAGCTTTTCAGTAAAAAGCAGACTTGAATATTCCTCTGTATAGTAGAGCCAAAGACATCAAATGCCAACCTGATTTCTTGTATCTGTCTTTAGATCCTGACATTTTGCCCTTATTTTAGAGGAGCCTTCAGTTACTGATTTACATAATACCATATTTTGTATCAGTGAGAAAATAATAACTTCTTTCACAGGAAGTATTCCAGGAGCTGTGTTTTCATTTTTTAAGGCATGATTGTGTGTTAACAATATCCCATCATCCTCTTGACGAGCATGACCTCCTGTCACTGCTGGGAACATTCAATGCAATCCAATATGTCTTCTCTAGCTGCCTGCTCCTGTAGCAGAAGATAAATCCCAGCAAGCTGAACAGTAAAGCTAATTGCTGTTTCAGTGAGCACCTGCAAGGTGCTCATCTCTGCAAATAGCCTCTTGTTTCCCCGTGCAGAGTAATAAGGGAGAGGTACTGTCCTGGGCTCAGGCAGAGTGCAGCGGCTTTAAAATATCTCTCAAAAAACTCAACTAGAAACTTCTTTAATGATTCTCTTTCTACAAATGAGAGAAAAATTAAAAGAGACACATGTAATTGTTTTAAAATATATTTTTAAAGATTTATTTGTTTGTTTGTCTGTTTGTTTATGTTTTTTTGTTTATGTGAGTGTGAATGCCCATGTGAGCGATTGTCTCATGTACAGTGCCTTGGCGGCCAGAGGCGTCAGATTGCCAGGAACTGGAGTTACAGATAGTTGTAAGCTAACAGATGTGGGTGCTGGGACCTGAACTTGGATCCTCTGGAAGAGTAGCTAATGGTCATGGTCACATCAAAATTTTTCAACGTGGGTAATGGGATCTGAACACAGATCCTCATGCTCACATAGTGTGTGCTCTCGCCGACCAAGCCATTGCTCCAGCCCCAAGCTGCATTTTTATTTTGGTGCTGTTCCTCTTTTACTAGTTCTCATTATATTAACTTAAATATTTTAATAAAAATAATGGAAAAATTAAAATAAAATAAAAAGAAATGAACCAGTAATCCATAAAGTTGTGGAGGAAACTTTAATGCCTATTAATAAATGCAAGATGAATGAAAGTGTATGTACCATGGGAGTACAACAGTCTGACAGCCTGGAAAAGCCAAAACCTGGAGAGTACAAGGATTGGAGGCTCCGGGGTGCAGGAAGGGATCTATAGGCAGTTGAGGGAGAGCCTTAGGGAAACTGATCGGCATGTGTCATTAAACTGCTACCAAACCCAGATCATGAGTGGCAACAGGGGTGTGTCCATTGTAAATTACAGACCTGAGTGAGTGTGTGTCTGTAGACCACTCAACAACAGTACGATTCAGGGAGCATGCCCACAGGGATGTTGTGGATAAGATGGACAGGGCATACTGGGAAATCTCTACCTTCTGCTCAGTTTTGTTCTAAGCCCAAATATATATATATATATATATATATATATATATATATATATATATATATTTTTTTTTAAAGGAGACTTTTTATAAAGTTGTAGAGTCTAAGACAAATATTTCTAAGAATTCTTAAACTCCAGAAGTAATAATGCAAAGATAAGTAGATTTGGCTACATAAAAGTTAAAGACTTCTATCAGGCAAACCTAAAACAAAACACAAATTAAGTAAAAAAAAAAAAAAAAAGTTTAAAGTTAACTGACAATGAATAATGAGCTGATAGTGAGGTACTTCTTTAGAAGATCGACAGTTTTAGAAATTGATAAAAAGGCAGTCAAGATGGCTCTGTGGCTGAAGCTGCTTGCCACCAATCCTGTTGACCTGAGTTCAGTCCCGGGTGGGACCCAATGGTGGAAGGAGACAAGCGACTCTCACAAGCTGTGCCCTGATGGCTACAGATGAACTGTGGCAGATGTGTTCCCCTTCATACACACGCTAGAAGTACACATCAGAAATGAGTAAGTGTTCATAAGAAGTTTCTTTTCGGAGTTGGTAAGCAGGGGCTGGGGCCGCAGCTGAGTAGGAGAGAGTGCTTTCTGTCCCTAAAGCCCTGGCTCCAATCCACAGTGCCAAAGACATGACAGGAAAGGACGAAGCACCTCAGAGAACATTACTCAACTCCTATCTGTAATTAGGTAAAGCCTTTCACGCTGATGAAAAAAAAATGTTTAATTGCTGCCACCCTGTCTTTGTGCTGAGAGGAAGGGCTCCTCCAGCGTGCTGCTGGCACAAGCAGGTGCGAATTCTGAGGGTACAGTTTGGCAGCATTCAAAGTGGAGATGAGCCCGCGTGAATGCTCAGCCATGACACCGTGCACACACAGCTTGAAACGGCGGCTCTGGGAAGCTCTTTATTGCAACAATTTTAATAGATAGAAATGAGAAAAATCCCGAAGTGATTACCAATAGGGGATGATTAAGTTCATTTACACAACAGAACTAGAGCTCAGCTCTGTCCTGAGAGAAGCATGTTTGTAATATACGCTTCAGTGAAAGAAGCCCACCAGGGGACAGCACCCAGCGAATGATTGCATTTATTATGCAGAAAGATGGCCGACATAGACCGCTTATTCCTGAGCAGGCGTGTGTGCACGCATAGTGATTCCATTTAGCTTTTTAAAAAATGCGTTGACACAGAAAGTATCCCCCCAAATTCGTAAGACAAGCCGAGCGCTAGTTGTCTGAAGTAGAGGAATTCAACGCCTGTGGAGAAGTGAGCCGAAACTTTGTGCTTTGCTCTTTACCGTTCATATTGTTTGGTGTTTTGCAGTGAGTATTCTCTAACCTAAAAAATAATAATAAAAGCACAAATATAAACATTAAAATGGACTTTTAAGCAGAAGCAGTGATGCAGCAGAGATGGGAATGACGAACAAACATAATTAGAATAAGCTTAATTTCCATTTCCCTTGCAGCTCTGATGAGTTCAAAATTTTGCAAATAGGACAAATTGCACAGAAATAAACCAAAGGGCAAAATTTGTATATTTTTCATTTTGCAAAATCCTAAGTGGAGGCAGCAGAACACAGACATTTATCATCCATCAGTATTGATTTAGCAACTCACAATGACATAGAAGGCTTTGGTCAGCCTTAATTTTGTGTGAGCCACTTCACAACAGCTCCTATCAGTTGCTATGGAAACAGCTGCAACCAAAAAATAAATTGCAACCTTGTTTTTTTTTTTTTTTTTAATTTTCTTTTAGTGGGCAGGAAATGAAGGGGGTTTTGTTTGTTTTTGTTTTAGTAAAGCTACAGATAACCTTGTTTCCAAACTGAATGATAAAAACTCTGGACAATATGAAGAAAATGGGCCAGTGTCAATCATAAATATTAAAGATTTCCTTAGTTTTGAAAGTATCACTCTGTTGTACTAAGAATTTTATTCATGGGGTGAGATGGTTCAGTCCGTGAGAGCACTTGCTGTGCAGGCCTGAGGACCTGAGTTCAGATCCTGAGTGCCCACAGTAAAAGGGGCCGTGACCACGGTTGTCTGTGACTGCAATGCCTAGTGGAGGGCCGGGGGAGGGCAGAGACAAGGGTATTATTAGCAAGTGCAGTGAGCTCAAGGTTCAGTGAAAGTCCTTGTCTTAAGAGAGTAAGACATGAGTGAAAGAACACATCCCACACAATCCTCCAGTCTTCAGATAGTGTGCCTGGGCATGTGTACTTGCGCACGCACAATCGTGGTCACACACACACACACACACACACACACACACACACACACACACACAC